CATTTTGATTAGAGAGGGGAGACGGTGAGTTCGTAGGTGTGTTCGTAGCTGGCGATGAATGTTGTGACGCGTCACTCTCAAATGGTACTTGAGAGTTAACGGGTGCTTCAGAGTTAACTGGTGCTTCAGAGTTAACATCTGACATTTTTAACCTTTATAAAAATAATATGGATTGAATTAATATAAATAAATTAAGTACTCATGATCTTTTAAAAAAATTATGACATGATTGAAACAATTAGAAGATGCATTACAGAAGATTTATGATATAATAAGGAATTCCAAATCGACTTTGGTGATTGCAAAAGGAAGTTTATAAAAATAATTCATGTAAAGTTTTTATAAAAAAAACCAAAAGCATGCATATAGTAAATTGATTGAAAGGATTAATTTGACAACAACACAATAGAGGAATTAAAATACAAAGTTAGGCAATACCTACAATGTGTTAGGGCCTTTTGCATATTATAGCATGATTGAAAATTATGTTGGATATTGAGATCAGTCACTATCACTCCACCCAACTCTCATTTTGCATTTTGTTTGCTAAGTTTTGTTGTTATTTCTAAGAGTAATTATTAGGTGCAATATATTAATGATAATATGAAAAACAAACATATTAATCTTTGCCTTAAAAACAAGTTGGGATTCAGAAGCTTTCACTAGTATAGCTTAAAAAACTGTTTCATGTCCTCCTCAACCTCTCTGTCTTTATGAATAATTCACCCATAATATAAAAAAAGATCACTCATGTATTTCATGCTCATCAAGTTATACTCTACTTTCATCCCTGTCTATTTCTACTTCTGCTAAATTTAATACAACAAAATTGATGCAACTTTGAATATCACCTTTGTTCTTATCAGTTGGAACTAATGTGTTTTTATCCATTCACCAACCATTTTCTTAGAATTCAAGATCTTATTAAGCAAATTGGTCAACCAAAATGTTCCATCATCACCCAAACACTCCCAAACTTCAATGACAATTCCATCTGGTTCTATAGGTTTTCTTACTTTAATCTTCCTCATAGTCATAGCCTCCTTTACCTCAGGAAGGAATCTATAATTAATATTACTATTAAAATTAACAAGTTCTAAAGTCTATGTTTCTTTCAAAAGGCTTTATTTAAATAGACAGATTATGAGGTATATTTTAATAGACAGATTATAGACAGATTAATAGACAGATTATAAGATCATCATCTTAATAGACAGCTTATCAATAATATAGACAGATTATCAACAGATCAAACCTGATGTGAAAGATAATGATCAACAGATTATCAATAATTCACAAGCACCGATTATCAGGGTCTGGAGGTAGATCTGCATAAAAAATACAACTGATTATCAATATAAAATAAATAAATTTAGAGACAGAAAAAAAAACAGAACTATATTGTATTTTTTACAGATCTATACTCAGATCTAAACACTCATATATATATATATATATAATATACATATATGTAAACCTAGATCGAAATCCCTAGAGAGAGAGAGAGAGAGAGAGATACCTAAACAGAGATGGGAGGCGCGGTGGTGACGGAGGGAGGATCGTCGGTGACGGAGGAAGGATCGCCGGTGACGGAGGGAGGCGCGGCGGTAACAAATGAAAGAGAGAGGGACAGACGAAAGAGAGAGAGAGAGGAGCGGCGTGTGTTGTGTG